GGAAGTGGCGCTGTGGCTCAAGTGGTAGAGCGCTAGCCTTGAGCTGAAGAGCTGAGGGACAGTGCCCAGGCCCAGAGTTCAGGCCCCACGACCGGATCCCCCCCTCCCCCCGCAAAAAAAGGACCTGATCCTAAAACAAGGTTTAAAAAAATATAAACCAGTGGGTACCTTTGGGTGTCTTTGTTACTAATTATCAGTGGGTTTGTTTTGTTTATTTGTTTACTTATTTATTGGCAGTTTTGGGGCTTGAACTCAGGGCCTGAATTTCTTTTGCTCAAAGGTAGTACCACCTGAACAACAATGCCACTTCTGGCTTTTTCTGTTTATGTGCTACTGAGGAATCGAACCCAGGGCTTCATGCATACTAGGCAAGCACTCTACCACTAAGCCACATTCTCAGCCCGTTTTGTTTATTTGTTTTCAATAGCCCTTCATCAGTCAAGCCAATGTCATTTTTTTTGTCAGTCATGGGGCTTGAACTCAGGGCCTGAGTGCTGTCTTTGAGCTTTTGCACTCAAAGCTAGCGCTCTACCACTTTGAGCCACAGCATCACTTCTGATTTTCTGGTGGTTAATTGGAGATAAGTCTCACAGACTTTCTTTTTATTTATTTTTTGTCAGTCCTGGGGTTTGAACTCAAGGCCTGGGCACTGTCCCTGAGCTTCTTTTGCTCAAGGCTAATACCCTACCACTTGAGCCACAGTACCACTTCTGGCTTTTTCTGTTTATGTGGTACTGAGGAATTGAACTCAGGGCTTCATGCATGCTAGGCAAGCACTCTACCACTAAGCCACATTATCAGCCCTCTCATGAACTTTCTTGCCTGTACTGGCTCTGAACTGTGATCCTCAGATCTCAGCCTCCTGAGAATCTAGGATTATTGGTGTGAGTCACCAGTGCCTAGCAAGCCAATATAATTTCTTTTCAAGGTTTATACTTACAGTCACACTCAGATCATAAATATCTGACAGACCAAGTAGGAGTTCTTTTTTCAACTTGCAAAAACTTGGAAACTTCATGTGGCAGAGCTGCAGCTGGTAATTTTATTGTTGTTTGCATCACTAGGGATTGAACTCAGGGCCTCATACTTCCTTGCATTGGTTATTTTTGAGGTAGGGTCTCCTGTTAAGCTGTGGACAGCCTATTCTGTGACCCTCCTCTTTGTGCTTTCCTGTGTAATTGAGGAATGACAGAGGTATACCACTGCCCCCAGTCATTGTACCTTCCTGTAGCAGAAATAACAGGTGCATGCCACCATATTGTCTGTCAGTGGTTGAAACAGAGTCTCACTCTTACTGACTTTTGTGCTTGGGTTGGCTTCAAGCCTCAATACCCCAGGCTCTGCCTCCCAGAAGCTTTATTTGCTTATTTTTTATTTACTTAGATATAGTTTAGCTGCTTCATCCTGGCTGGCCTGGAACTTGTGATCCTTTTGCCTCAGTCTCTTGAGTGCCAAGATTATAGGCATGCACCACCATGCCTGCTTCCCTTGTAATTAGAAATATTATTATTATTACTGCAAGAGATTTCTGGAAGGGATTTTAGTAAGTGTGGGAGAGAAAGGTGGAGCAGATGTGAACTTGTGCCTTTCAGAGGGGGAATCTCATGTCAGTGAACAGGATGCCATGCAATAGTGTAAATGAATGAACTGGAAGCCACACAACCACATGGACAGCTTTCAATATAATGTCAAATGAAAAAGAGCACAGGCTGTGGGGCTCCATTCATAAAGAGTTCAAGGGCGGGCCACACGCAACCTGCCGGATGACTGATGGAGAAATTGGTTCCTGTGACAGAATAACTCAGACTAGTTGTTAGTTTCTTCACACACAAATCACAGGAGGGAGTCTCTTGTCAAGGAACAAAGGATTTCTAAGAGAGAAGGGAGAGAGGAGAGATAAAAGTCCTGTAGAATTTCTGAACAGGGAATGTTGCAGGTATAGTTTGGGGGTAAATTTACTGGCTGATGGGGAATACCAGAGGTCTGAGTCAGCAATTAGGCCCAGGTCTGCAATTGATACTTGATGAGGTCAATTCTACTTCTGTTGTTTATGGAGTCTCTAAAAAACCTCTGAGGAGAAGCTGGGAAGGTGGCTCAGTGGTAGAGTGCTTACCTTGCATGCATGAGGCCCTGGGTTCGATTCCTTAGCACCACATAAGCGGAAAGAACTAGAAGTGGTGCTGTGGCTCAAGTGGTAGAGCACTAGCCTTAAGCTGAAGAGCTGAGAGACAGTGTCCAGGCCAAGATCAGGCCCCATGACTGACAATAAAAGAAAAAGAAAACCTCTGGGGAGTTTTTAGAGAATGGGGAGAGTAGAGTTTGATCTCAAGGCCTCACATTTGCTAAATGGATGTTCTACCACTTGAACTATACCTCCAGCCCTTTTAACTTGTCATGTGGGTTTTTTTTTGGGGGTGTGTGTGTTTCAGGTCAGCCTAGATTATGATCCTCCTATTTATGCTTTATAGCTAGGGAGGCTAGGCCCAATTTTTTGCTGTTGAAATGGAGGTGTTGAGCACTTTTTGGCTTTAGCTTACATGGAATCATAATCCTCCTGATCTCAGCCTTTTGAACAGCTAGGATTGTAGGAAATGAGCCACTATGCCGAGTACTCATTATCTTGGAGAGGATAGTGACTCTGAAAGGCCACAAAAGCCTCCCAGGAATCTTGGTTCATTTTCCCATCCAGTTTGTGAATGTACATTTATTCTTTTTTTTTTTTTTGTCGGTCATGGGGCCTGAACTCTGGGTCTGGGTGCTGTCCCTCAGCTCTTCAGCTCAAGGCTAGTGCTCTACCACTTGAGTCACAACACCACTTCCAGCTTTTTCTGCTTATGTGATGCTAAGGATCAAACCCAGGGCTACATGTAGGCGAAGAAAGCACTCTACCACTGAGCCACCTTCCCAGCCCCAATTGTGTTTATTCTGTGAAAACTTATCACTGTACTTCTAGTGTGGGTACTTTCCTGAGTGTTACATTTCCATGTACATCATGGGAAGTCTTTACAAAGTTCTGAGCCCTCTAAGCTCTACTCAGGAACTCCAGTAGGGCAGTTTCTTTATTTTGTTCACTTATGTGTTCCTGGCACATAGTAGATGCTTCCAAAATATTTGTGGGATGGATTGGTAGATGGATAATCTGAACTGGAGTGAAGGCCTGGGCATAGCTAGGTTTTTCAAAGTCCCCCAAGTAATTCTAGAATATGACCTGATTAGCACTAAGCAAGGGGCAAAGGTTGACAGAGGGCTGACAACACACCATGGCCAACCTGTATGTCCTGCTAGGAACTTCAGCTCCAAAGAAGGGCCAGACTCTGTGTCAGCTGGGTGTTTGTGGCCCACACTTGTAATCCTAGCTACTGCTGAGGCTGAGATCTGGAGGATCTCCTCCAAGTCAACCAGGGCATAAAAGTCTTCAAAACTCCATCTCCAGTTAACTAGCAAAAAGCTAAGCTGGAGATGTGGCTCCGATTGTAAAGTAACAGCCATGAGCAAGCATAAGGACCTAAGTTTAAACCTCACTATTGGTGAGAGATAGGAGGGAGAGAGGGAATAAGACTGAGATAGATAGATAGATAGATAGATAGATAGATAGATAGATAGATAGATAGATAGATAGATAGATGTGGGTAAGCTGTCTTTGGCTAATTTTTTTTCTTTTTTCTTTTTGTCAGTCATGGGGCTTGAACTCAGCCTGGACAATGTCCTTGAGCTCTTTTTTTTGCTCAAGGCTAGCGCTCTACCATTTTGAGCCTCAGCACCACTTCCAGTTTTCTGGTGATTAATTGGAGATAAGAGTCTCATGTACTTTCCTGCATGGGCTGGTTTTGAACCATGATCCTCAGATCTCAGCCTCCTGAGTAGCTAGGATGGCAGATGTGAGCCACCATTACCCAACTTAGATAATTTTTACACATGTGTAAGAATGGTTTCATGTGTGCTAGGAATGTGGCTTAGTGGTAGAGTACTGCCTAGCATGCATGAGGCCCTGGGTTCAAATCCTTAGTACCACATAAACAGAAAAAGCTGGAAGTGGTCCTGTGGCTTAAGTGGTAGAGTGCTAGACTTGTGCACAAGAAGCTCAAGGACAGTGCCCAGGCCCTGAGTTCAAACCTCAGGACTGAAAAAAAAAATGCTCCATGTGCAACCAGATTTAGAACCAGTGACCCAGCTCAGTGCTTTCTGTTCCTCTACAGGTATCCCGCATGGATGGCACTGTGGACACGCCCCCCTGCCTACGACTGACCCACCGTACCTGGGGCTCCCAAAACAGTCTGGTAGAGATGCTTTTTCTCCGACTGAGTCTTCCAGTTCAATTCTACCAGCATTTCCGCTGCACTGCTGGGGCCACTCCTCTGGCACCCCCTGGCCTACAGCCCCCTGCCGAAGATGAGGCCAGAGCCGCAGAACCAGACCCTGACTATGAAAACCTACGCCGTTCAGCTGGAGGCTGGGGTGAAGCTGAGGCGGGCAAGGAAGGAACTGCTAAGGATGGGGGCACTCCTCAGCCTGGGATGGAGGCCCAGCCTGTAAGGGCAGAAAATGAAAAGGATGCCACCACAGAGAAGAACAAGAAAAGAGGGTGAGTCAAGGGTTGACCAGCATGGGGTTTTAAGACTGTTTGGGACCCTGGTTATGCAACCTTAATAGATTGAGCCAGACACTGGTGGCTCACACCAGTAATTCTATCTATTCAGGAAGCTGAGATCTGAGGATCACCATTCAAAATCAGCCCAGGTAGATAAATCCTAGATTTTTTTTTTTTTGCCCATTCTGGGGCTGGAACCTGGGGCCTGGATGTTGTCCCTGAGCCAGTTTTTGTGCTAGCACTCTACCCCTTGAGCCACAGTGCCATGTCCAGCTTTTTCTGAGTAGTTTATTGGAGATAAGAGTCTCCTGGACTTTTCTGCCCTGGCTGGCTTTGAACCAGGATCCTCAGATCTGAGTCTCCTGAGTAGCTAGGATTACAGGCATAAGCCACCTCTCAAGCGCCTGGCTCAAGAGATTCTTAAGTCTAATTAACCAGCAGAAAGCTAGCAGTAGACTTGTGGCTCAAGAGGTTAAGCACTAGGCTTGAGTAAAAAAGCCAAGCAAGAGTACAAGACTGAGTTCAAGCCCCAGCACCAGCACCAGAAAAAAAAAAAAGCTGGGTGCCCGTGGCTCATACCTATAATCCTAGCTACTCAGGAGGCTGAGCTCTGAAGATCAGGGTTCTAAGCTAGCCCAGGCAAGAAAGTTCTTGAGATTCTTATCTCCAATAAAACCACCAGAAAATGGGAAGTGGTGCTGTGGCTCAAGAGGTAGAGTGCTCACCTTGAGCTGAAGAGCTCAGGGACAGTGCTCAGACCTAGAGTTCAAGTCCCACGACCAACAAAAAAGAAGGAAGGGAGGAAGGAAGGGAGGGAGGGAGGGGGGGAGGAAGGGAGGAAGGAAGGAAGGAAGGAAGGAGAAAAATAAAATGAGGACATCCCCAGCATACCCACAAAGCAGCCTCATCTATCCTAAGTGAAGTCATAATACTGAGGCATCCAATTGTGTCTCAAGTGAACCCTGTTATTTTCCAGTGCTATTATAATTTCCCTAGAATATAAAACTAGGGAACCCTATGTATGGTTATGGAGAATTCTACCATTCCTGAGGAACTGGTGGACCCCAGATCTTTATTCAATGGCTTGATTATCTGTGAGCACTAAAGGAGACTTCAGTATCCTGGTGAAGTTTTCTGTACCCCCCCAAATATCTCAGTGAACATCAAGTGATCTAAATTGGAGCTTTTTTTTTGTCGGTTGTGGGGCTTGAACTCTGGGCCTGGGTGCTGTCCTTCAGCTCTTCAGCTCAAGGCTAGCACTCTACCACTTGAGCCACAGCACCTACTTCTGGCTTTTTCTGCTTATGTGGTGCTGAGGAATTGAACCTAAGGCTTCATGCATGCGAGGCAAGCACCCTATCACTGAGCCACCTTCCCAGCCCCAATTGGGGCTATTTCTATATCTTCAATGTACCAACCCCCCAAAAAATACCCACCCTAGCTCTAAGTGAGACCCTGAGAAGGTCCTAGATTGAGACGAAATCTGCTCTCCCCCCTCCCCTGCCCCTGCCCATGGTTTGTGTCTCTTGTCTTTTGTCTGTGTCTCTTGGATGAGGAGAGGGCATTTGGAAATGATGGAGTATTGCTGGTCATCACAGTTGGGGTGCTACTGCTGGGGTGCTCTAGGGAATCCCACATTCTTTACAGAGTGTATGACAGTGCCAGACAATGAAGGATTGGCTTTTGTTAAGCACATTGAGAAATACAAATGAGAAATGCTGGTTTAGGGGGAACTACTGTATCTCACAAAGGGAACCCCCCCACATTTCCAGAAGACACCTTTCAATGTGGGTGACCTAGTATCCACAAGCACAGAGCACAGCTCCTCCAGAATGGTCTAGCCCTGTAGAGAAGAGGTTTTGGGTCTTAGAGCAGGGTGTAATCAGGACAGATTGTGGCTATGAGTTGTGGTGGGAAGGTGAGAGTTGGACCTGAGAACTATTTTTTTGGGGGGGAGGGGGAATTCCAAGATGGGAACTTGAACTCAGTATGTGATGTTTTCCTTCATTGGCTAGTCATCTACCAACTGAGCCATACTTCCAACCCCTGAGAGCCAACTCTCATGGAAGCCTCTCTCTTCTCATCATCAGGTTCCTCTTTAAGGCCAAGAAGGCTGCCATGATGACCCAGCCACCGGCTACTCCTGTTCTGCCCCGACTCCCTCGTGAGGTGGTACCCACTGACAACCGTGATGATCCTGAGATTATCCTGAACACTACCACGGTGAGAACTGGGAATGCTCAACCTTTGGAGGGACTCAAATATGGGATATCACACACCAAAAATACTCCCAAGGGATCCCCAAAGCTACAAATGGCATTGGTAGACACAGACACAGACATAGATGAGCAGGGGAGGGAGAGCAGGGGGAGGGTCTCAAATCTGGCAACTTCTTCTTAAAAATTATTTATGTATTTATTTGTTTATTTATTGTCAGTCCTGGAACTTGAACTCAGGGCCTGAGCACTGTCCTTGAGCCTCTCTGTGCTCAAGGCTAGTGCTCTGTCACTTAAGCCACAGTGCTACTTCTAGCTTTTTCTGTTTATGTAGTACTGAGGAATCAAACCCAGGGCTTCATGAATGCTAGGCAAGCACTCTATCACTAAGCCACATTCCTAGCTCTTATTCATTTATTTTTAAATTGTTATTATAAAGGTGATGTGCAGAGGGGTTACAGTTACATAAGTCAGGTAATTGAGTATATTTCTTTTTGGACACTGTTACCCTTTACCTCACTCTCTCCCAGCTTTTCCCTCCTGTTGTATAGTTCATTTTCCACATAGTGTCTAGTGAGTACCATGCTGCATTTGTTCATCTTTTGTCCCTTCTTTTCTTTTCGTCAGTCCTGGGGCTTGAATTCTGGGCCTAGTCACTGTCCCTGGGCTCCTTTTTGTTCAAGGCTAGCGCTCTTACCACTTGAGCCACAATGCCACTTCCAGCATTTTCTGTGATTAATTGGAGATAAGAATCTCATGGATTTTCCTACCTAGCCTGGCTTCGAACCATACTCCTCAGATCTCAGCCTTCTGAGTAGCTAGGATTGCAGGCTTGAGCCACTGGCACCTGGCTTTGTCCCTCCATTTCTGTGCCCCTTCTTAGCCTCCCAAAGACAGATAAATAAACAAGACAAAAAGAAAAGAAAACAACAATAACAACAAAGGGAAACAACTCTATTGTTTCTATTTCCTGGAGTTCATTTTGATGCTTTTTTCCCTCCATTTCTGGGGTTTGAATTCAAGGCCTGGTCACTGTCCCTGAGCTTTTTTTGCTCAAGGCTAACATTTTACCACTTGAGCCACAGTGCCACTTCCGGCTTTTTTTTGTTGATATGTAGTAAGGAATCGAACCCAGGGCTTCATGCATGCTAGGCAAGCACTCTATCACTAAGCCACATTCCCAGACTGATACATATTATTTTATATGATCAGAGCTGAGAACTTCTTATTAAACTCCCAGAGGTCTTTAAGAATCCAAGAAACCAATTCAGAGTCCAAAGGAACCCCACCTTCCTGACTCATCTTTGGTCTCCCTTCCTTTGTGTCCTTAGTACTACTACTCCGTGAGGGTCTTCGCTGGCCAGGAGCCTAGCTGTGTATGGGTGGGTTGGGTCACTCCTGACTACCATCAGCACGACATGACCTTCGACTTGACCAAAGTCCGGGCAGTGACAGTGACCATGGGGGATGAACAAGGCAATGTCCACAGCAGGTACTGGGGCAGGGTGGGGAACTATGCAAAGGGAAAGTGTGGGCCAGAGAGAACAGGAGTTATGGCTGCCTGGCTATGACTCCTAAGAACCTTCTAGAACAAGAGAATACTTTGGAGTCCTGACATTGGGTCTCTGAGCTTCTTACTCCTTCCTCTCTTCTTCTGTTCAGTTTCTTTTCTTTTCTTTTCTTTTTTGGTGCTAGTACTGGGGCTTGAACTCAAGGCTTGGGAACTGTTTCTCAGCTTTTTCTCTCAAGGCTGGTGCTCTACCATTTGTGTCATAGCTCCACTTCTGGCCTTTTCCCGGTTAGTTGGCGGCAGGAGTCTTACAGACTTTTTTCCTGCCTGAGCTGGCTTTGGACTGAGATCTGATAACACGTGTGATCCACCAGTGCCAAAATTTTCTACTTTTTTAACTTCTTTTTTTTTTCTAAATTTCATCCCACCCTATTTTTTCTTTTTCTTTTTTGGTCAGTCCTGAGGCTTGAACTCAGGGCCTGGGCACTTCCCTTGAGCTCCTTTGCTCAAGGCTAGCACTCTATCACTTGAGCCACAGCTCCACTTCTGGCTTTTTTCTGTTGATGTGGTACTGAGGAATTGAACCCAGGGCTTCATGCATGCTAGGCAAGCACTCTACCACTAAGCCACATCCCTAGCCCCCCCCCCCACTTGTTCTATGTCACCTTCTTGTCTCTCTTGTGCTGTTCTTCTCTCTCCTCCTTCCAAGACACGTGTACCAGCTCCTAAAGATTCTAGCTCTAGTCTGCTGGGGCTGTACAGTTAGGGATGGAATCCTGAGGTCAGGGTATTTCTGGAGCTTGGGGAAGAGGGCATCTGGGATTCAGACCTCTGGTCAGAGGATGCTTGCAGTGACCACTCTTGTTTCTTCCAGCCTCAAATGCAGCAACTGCTATATGGTATGGGGCGGGGACTTTGTGAGCCCTGGGCAGCAGGGCCGGATCAGCCACACAGACCTTGTCATTGGCTGCCTGGTGGACTTGGCCACTGGTTTAATGACCTTTACAGCCAATGGCAAAGAGAGCAACACCTTTTTCCAGGTAAGCCCATCCCTAAGCAACTTAACAATAGTATTTTCATTACCCAGAATCTCAGGATGACCTTTCAAGACCCTTTTCCTTTCCCTCCTCCCCCCACTCCCCCCCCCCCCAGACCAGACCTCAGAGAGATAGGAAAGAACCAGCTCCTAGTTTGTCCTAGTTGAACCTTCCATTAAACTGAGACCCACAGCCAGGCATTAGTGGCTCATGTCTATAACCATAGCCATTCAGGAGGTTGAGATCTGAGGATCATGGTTTAAAGCCAGCCAAGGCAGGAAAGTCTGTGAGACTCTTGCCTGTAATTAACCATAAAAAACAAACTAACCGGGTGCTGGTGGCTCACGCCTGCAATCCTAGCTACTCAGGAGGCTGAGATCTGAGGATCGCGGTTCAAAGCCAGCCCGGGCAAGAGAGACCGTGAGACTCCTATCTCCAATAAACCACCAGAAAACCGGAAGTGATGCTGTAGCTCAAGTGATAGAGCGCTCGCCTTGAGCTGAAGAGCTGAGGGACAGCGCCCAGGCCCAGAGTTCAAGCCCCACGACCGACAAAAAAAAAAAAAACTAGAATTGGAGCTGTAGCTCAAGCAGTAGAGCCCTAACCTTGAGCAAAAGGATTCAAGGAAAGTTCCCAGGCCCTCAGTCTTGTACAGTCCCAGGACTGGCATAAAGCAAAGCAAAACAGACAAACAAAAAAAACTGAGGCCCAAAATGAAGGAGATAACTTTGACCTTGGAAAGGCACATGGACTCCATATTACATCATGGGCTGGGGTGACACCAGTCATTGACTTTTCACTAATTAGAGAACAGCCTAAGATGGGCAAAATCCAAAGGTGGACTTTTTCTTTTCAACATGTTATTATGAAGGAAAGTTTATGTATTTTGAGTATCCAAAGACCTAAAAGGAATTGTACAATAAAATATCCAATGCCCACTACCCCCAAAAAATCAACCATTGTTATTTTACTCTCCTGGCTTTATCACATATTTATCCAGCTATCTATGCACCAATTCACCTGAGGTAGGCTTTGTAGAATTTTTATTTTAAATTGAGAATTTCAGAAATCTGCAAAAAAAAAAATACCATAGCATAATGAGCCACCAGATTTGTACTCCACCCACTCATAGCCAATCTCGCCTCATCTTTCTGCCTACTTCACTTCCACACCCACTGTAGGATTTGGAAGAAAACTGTAGACATCATACAGTTCATCTCTCTCTTCTTTCTCTCTGTCTCTGTCTCTCTCTTTCTCTTATTTTTTTGGTGCTGGACGGGGCTTGAACTCAGGACCTGGGTGCTCATCTGAGTTTTTGTCCTCAATGGTAGCAATCTATCCCTTGAGCCACAGCTCTATTTCTGGCTTTTGTTGGTGGTCAATAAGAGCCTCATGGATTTTTTTCCTGCTGTGCTGGCTTTGAACCTCAGTCTTCAGATCTCAGCCTCCTGAGTAGCTAGGGTTACAGGCATGAGCCACTGATGTCTGGCTCCAGAGTTTTGTTTTGTTTTGCTTTTATTTTTGTTGTTGTTATTGTTGTGTGTGTGTGTGTGTGTGTGTGTGTGTGTGTGTGCTTGAACTGGGGCTTGAACTAAGGGCACTGTCTCTGAGCTTTGCTGCTCAAGGTTAGTACTCTGTGCTTTGTACTTCATGTAAACTTTGGGGGAGGGGAGTTGGATCTAGAAGTATGGTTTGCTTTTGGAAAGACTGCCCTTCAGAAGGTGTTTGGGGTGGGCTTGGCTGACAGGGTGGGAAGATCTGAGGGAGAGACAGCAGTCAGGGAACACTTTTTGTTGTTGTTGTTGCCAGTCCTGGGCTTGAACTTAGAATCTGGGCTCTGTCCCTGAGCCTGTCTGTGCTCAAAGCTAGGGCTCTACCATTTGAGCCACAGCATCATTTCCAGCATTTTCTATTTATGTGGTACTGAGGACTTGAACCCAGGGCTTCATGTATGCTAGGCAAGTACTCTACCACTAAGCCACATTTCCTAGCCCCATCAGGGAACACTTTATGGGTTTTGAAGTGCAAGTACTCTTGGGAGAAGATAGAGAAAGGTTTTCCTGGAGGAGTCCTAATGTGTCTATGAAGACATGGCAACAGATTACCCTAAAGGGGCTGGAGGAGGCTGGCCTGGCTGGATGATTTAAGGCAGCTCAGAACCACTGCAGAGCCTCCAATGCCCAAGTGTAGATCTGAGAATTGGCCTCAGCCTTCAAGGTTAAGTCCACCTTGCACAGTCTGCCCTCTTCCTCCCTTGTCCTTTGCTTTCATGCCAGGTGGAACCCAACACGAAGTTGTTTCCTGCCGTCTTTGTCCTGCCCACCCACCAGAACGTCATCCAGTTTGAATTGGGGAAGCTAAAGGCAAGAGAGCAGGGATGGGGCACTTGGAGTAGGCTGAGGCGGGAGGTGCTAGAGAACTTTCTCTGGAAGCCAGATGAGGGGAAAAGGTAAGCCTGGGAGACCTGACCCTGTGCCTCTATGCCCCCAGAACATCATGCCACTGTCAGCAGCTATGTTCCTGAGTGAGCGCAAGAATCCGGCCCCACAGTGCCCACCGAGGTTGGAGGTACAGATGCTCATGCCGGTCTCCTGGAGCCGAATGCCCAACCACTTCCTGCAGGTGGACACCCGGCGTGCGGGTGAGCGGCTCGGCTGGGCTGTTCAGTGCCAGGAACCGTTGACTATGATGGCGCTTCACATCCCCGAGGAGAACAGGTCAGGGCCCATCCAGCTGCATTGGTTAGGATCCAGCTCAATGCCTCCTCCTCCCTACCACAATCTCTGGGTACCCTGATTCAGCTCAGATCTTGCCAGTCACTCAGCAAGGCTGGATGCATCTCAGGGTTTCTGGTCAGACCCAGAGAGACTTTAGTGCTACTAATGTGTTAGCATGGGTACCAGGAAGTCTTATTATCTAAACATGGCCAGACCCCAGGTGGTCTTTCTTCTTCCTTCTTCCCTCTCTCTCTGCCTGCCTCCCTCTTTCCTTCCTTCCCTCCCTCTCTCTCTGATTTTCTCTCGCTGATTCATTCATTCTCCCCCCCCCCCCCAACGCACACATACACTTTTTTTGCCAGTCCTGGGGCTTGAACTCAGGGCTTGGGAATTGTCCCTTAGTTTTTGCACTTAAAGCAGGCACTCTACCACTTGAGCCACAGCTCTACTTCTGACTATTTGGTGGTTCATTGGAGATAAAAGTCTAATGGACTTTCCTGCCTAAGCTGGCTTTGAACTGGGATCTTCAGATCTCAGCTTCCTGAGTAACTAGGACTACAGGCATGAGCTGTTGACACTCAGTTCTCAGGAGGTTTCTGACTGGCCTCATTAAAAAAATTTTTTTTAATTTAGTCTTTTAAACTGTTAAAAGACTCCTATACAGCTTCAAAGTTTTCATGAGGCCCTGGTACCCTGTGGGACACAGAGAAAACAACATTCACCTGAGTGTCTCTCTCTCTCTCTCTTTTTTTTTTATCTTTTCTGTCCCTATGTGTTTTTCACTTGTGCCGCAGGTGCATGGACATCCTGGAGCTCTCCGAACGCCTGGATCTGCAGCGCTTCCACTCACACACCCTGTCCCTTTACCGAGCCGTGTGCGCTCTGGGCAACAACCGCGTGGCACATGCTCTGTGCAGCCACGTGGACCAGGCCCAGTTATTGCACACGCTGGAGGATGCGCACCTACCGGGGCCTCTTCGTGCAGGCTACTACGACCTCCTCATCAGCATCCACCTGGAAAGTGCCTGCCGCAGCCGGCGCTCCATGCTTTCTGAATACATTGTGCCCCTCACCCCGGAGACCCGGTCCATCACCCTCTTCCCACCTGGAAGAAGTGCAGAAGATGGTCCCCGCCGCCACGGCCTGCCTGGCGTTGGAGTCACGACTTCCCTGAGGCCCCCGCACCATTTCTCACCCCCCTGTTTCGTGGCTGCCCTGCCAGCTGCTGGAGGAACAGAAGCTCCTGCTCGCCTCAGCCCTGCCATCCCTCTGGAGGCCCTGCGGGACAAGGCTCTGAGAATGCTGGGTGAGGCGGTGCGAGACGGTGGGCAGCATGCTCGAGACCCCATTGGAGGCTCCGTGGAGTTCCAGTTTGTGCCTGTCCTCAAACTTGTGTCTACTTTGCTGGTAATGGTTTCCCCCTGATTTCCATTCCCTTTCTAACATGTTCAAAACTATTCATCCCTGTATTATTCAAACAATTATCCATTCATGAATTCACAAACCCATTCACCTTTCAGTTTATCCTCCCATCTTTCATTCACTGGAAAGTGTCTTCTATTCATGTTTATTCACCTCTTTTTCCTTCATCCTATTTCTCCATCTAATTAACCAACATTCATTCATCCTCCATCCATCCATCCTCTATCCATTCATCTATCCATTCATGCATATCCTCATCTCATTTGTCTTTCTATTCATCTATTCTCCACCTACATATTCATCCATCCATCCTGCTATCCATCCATTCTACCTACCCACATCCATCTATCACATCCATACATTATACATCTTCCAATATATTTGCTTACCTATCCTGCCATTCACACATCAGTCCATCCACAATTCCATCTATTCTTCTATCCACCTACCTATTTATTGATGGATTGATATATATATTTCCTCTCATACACACAGTAATCATCTTCCTTTCACCTCTCCATCCATTCATATAGTAATATACCCATACACTATATACCTGTCCATATCTGCACCTTTTATTTACCTTTCTATCCATCCATACACCTTTCCATCCAATATTCATGTTTTCTCCCACCTACCCAGAAATCCACACCATTCATTTAACTGTTCATCTTCCATTATCCATTGTTCTATTCATCTTTTATTTCATGCATCCCTTTATTCGAATCCCTATATAACCATTTGCCCATATATCTATCCATCCATCTATCCCAGCCACTCACATTTATCTACCTATATATTAATTTACTTGCTCATGCATCCATCAACCCACCATCCATCCACCTGCCTGCTTCATACATACATCATTAATCCTTCCACACATCCACTCTCCTCCATATTTTTCTCTGTCATTTCCTTTATTCTTCATCATCTACTCATTCTCACTTCTCCATCATGATCCACTCATCCATTACCTCCCCTTAAAACCCGCTACCATTCTATCCATCCATTCACTCAGCCAGCCACCTCTCTCCTCCTCCCATTTATTCATCTTTCTCTTATTCTTCTCTACTTTTGTCTACCTTTTATCTTTCCATACTTTAATCTGTTAGCATCTGTTAGTATGTGTTGAGTGAGAGCTGGTGTATGCTGGGACCTCTGTAGGCCTCACTCAGGTGTAGAGTGTGTTCCAATCCATAGCTACATGTAAATATTGGCCTGTGAAGGAAGAGGAACACATGTCTGGTGATGTAATCTGATGAGGGTGTGGACTGGGCAATCTCAAGGAAGGTGAACAGTGAGGAGGGGATGTCAATGCAGGAAGGAACCTGGGACACACTGGAGAAACAGGTCTAGACAGTGAAATGGGGGGGGGATGATTGTGGAGGCCTTGCCAGTCACAGTGAAGAACTCATGTTTTGTCCTGCCAGGTGATGGGTGTCTTTAGTGATGAGGATGTGAAACAGATCTTGAAGATGATTGAACCCGAAGTGTTCACTGAGATAGAAGAAGAGGAGGAGGAGGCAGAAGAGGAGGAAGAAGAAGATGAGGAGGAGAAGGAAGAGGACGAAGAGGAAGAGGCACAGGAGAAGGAAGATGAGGAGAAAGAGGAAGAGGAAGCAGCAGAAGGAGAGAAAGAAGAAGGCTTGGAGGAGGGGCTGCTCCAGATGAAGCTGCCAGAGTCTGTGAAGTTACAGGTAGGTCATTTCTTCCTGCCTTCCCTTCTTCATCCATCTGGGTTGGGGGACTCAGGATCTGATGGGGCATGAGTCTGGATCTTGTACTATGAAGAAGCATAAAACTGGTGTGATGCTGGCTTGGAATGATCTCTCTGATTTCCATGTGAGAAGAGACCACGGGAGGAATTGATGGTGGCTGGACATGGACAGGACCAGGGAGAGGGAAGAGGAAGCAAGAAAAGTTTCTGAGAAGGCCTGATAGTCTCATTACAATCCCTCCTACTGCATGACTGTCCTTCCACAGATGTGTCACCTCCTGGAGTATTTCTGTGATCAAGAGCTGCAGCACCGTGTAGAGTCCCTGGCTGCCTTCGCAGAGCGCTATGTAGACAAGCTGCAAGGCAACCAGAGAGGTCGCTATGGACTCCTCATGAAAGCCTTCACCATGAGTGCAGCGGAGACTGCAAGACGCACCCGCGAGTTCCGCTCGCCACCCCAGGAGCAGGTTCTCTGACCCCTGACTTTAGCTGGTTTTATTGTCTACTCCCAAATGCAAACACTATCCCAACTGACCATTGATAAGCCTCACCTTTAAAACTGGTGCTTTTACCCTTGAACCTACTGATACATTTATCTCTCTCTCTCTTTTTTTTTAAGCCTCTTATTTCCATTTCCTGGAGTTCTTCTTTCTTTCTTTCATTCTTTTTTCCTTCCTTCCTTCTTGCTTGCTTGCTTGCTTTCCTTTCTTTCTTTCTTTCTCTGTCATGGGGCTTGAACTCAGCCTGGGCGCTGTTGCTGAACTCTTTTGCTCGAGGCTAGTACTCTAACACTTTGAGCCACAGAACCACTAACAGTTTTCTAGTGGTTCATTGGAGATAAGAGTTTCATACTTTCCTGCTTGGGCTGGCTTTGAACCATGGTCCTCAGGTCTCAGCCTCCTGAGTAGCTAGGATTATAGGCATGAGCCACTAGTGTCCAGTGCTGGAGTTCATTTTGATAAATATTAGTTTATATGATCAGAGCATTTATCTTTTACTCAGTGCCACTCTGTGAATGAACCTGACTTTGAAGTCTTCCAGACATTTTTCATCAACTCATGCTTTATTATTATTACTATTATTATTTTGGTTGTTCATGAGGCTTGAATAGGGCCTGGGCTCTGTCCTTGAGCCTCTTTGTGTTCAGGGCTAGCATTTTACCACTTAGCCACAGTAGCACCACTTCTGGCTTTTTCTAAAGAGTTTATTGGAAATAAGAGTCTCACAGATTTTTCTTTCTGGCCTGGCTTTGAACTGTGATCAGCCTCCTGAATTACTAGGATTATAGGTATGAGCCACTGGCACTCAGCCAACTCATACTTTGACCCATGATTTTATTTTCTTATATATATATATATATATATATATATATATATATATATATATAT